GAACAATAAAGATGGTAATAAAGATTCGTCCTCTATCTGCCTCAGGGGCGAAACGAATAGAACCTCGAGTAACGTGCTTGACCAGTGATATCAATGAGTTACGAGTAAAATAATGTGCTTATTATTTTTGAGTCGTAAGACACAGACAGTTCTTCTGAACGATGAATCGCGTCTGCCACTAACGCTACCTCGTTTACATAAATTTGCCCATCATCGACATTCAAGTAATAGTCAGTGCATGGTCGAGTACGACGTACCCCGTTATAGCCTTGCATTGTCTGCTGAGCCCGTGAAGCCACCAGGGAAGCAGATGTTGCCTCCTCGGTGCGGTGGACCATTTAGTAAGACGTCTGTGTACCTTTTCTCCTTAGTAGATTGGCGTTCATTCGAATTGAGAACAAAGGCGAAATTTGATGAACGATGTCACGCGTCGGCAATACGCCCCTGCGACTGAAACAATGCCCGGTCATCGCGGTCAACGGTGGCAACAATGGCACCTACGCTTTTCAGAGGAAGCCGAAAATCCGGCTCGTTTCCGCTTGACAGGTCAAGCGGGACCAACGCTTTGTCAACGTCATGCGGACAGAAGACGATCGAACTATCGCATCCGTGTCCTTTGGTAGAATGAAGGCCAAAAGATGGATGTATCTCGCGGTCGAAATTTTATTGCCCGTATGGAATCACGGGGATAGCTGCTTATTGAGCAAACTGCCCATCTGTGCAACGATCAGCCAAAGCAAATCATCCGAGGCAACGGCCGAGTGCAAATGAGCATAATGAAGCCAAATAGGACTGTTTGTTTACACAGAGCGAGTCCCTTGTCCGTTGCAATCAATCAGTCAGATTTATTAACTTAAACAGCGGTTGTTGCCATCGCCATAAAATGCTTTCCTCACGAGTCATACATAGAAACTGTGCACATGGCAAAAGATAAGAAAAGATAACACGAGTCCACATCGAAGCAATTGCACTTGTATTCTGAGTTCCGTGAGGATATGACATTTGCAACTTGTTTTCTCTCCTCGTCCTACGCGGATATGATCCGGTAAGGATGTCCTTAATTCGCGTCTGAGTTTGCTGATTCTCTTCTCAATAGCACTTTCATGAATTTCTTGCACAGAAGGTTGTCGAAGTAAGTAGAGAT